TCTTTACTTCCTTAAATTTCAGATACCTTTGTTTTATCTTGCAAATTCCTATTTCCTTGGACCAAAAATTACAGAACTCATCATTGCCCCATGGTTTTTCTTAAGATGCGTAAAGTCATGACCAGAATAATCCCCCCAATTAACAAAACAGAAACTTTTCCTAAGTCTTGCTTTTTTCGGAAAACAAAAAATTCTCAAAAGAATAAAAATAGTGGCTTAATTGTCGACAAGGAATCAGATTTGGACGCTTTTAACTCATAAACAACAAACAAAATCTGTTTCTCTTTTACTTGTTAATTTTTTGTCGTTGCTAAGTAAATATTAATTAATTATATATAATTATATTAATTCTATTATAAATATAATATTATCAACAATTATATTGTTAAATTATAATATTATCAACAATTTATATTGTTAAAAATTTAAAAGCATTTACAAAATAGAAAGAAGAACATTTTATGAAATAATAAAATAAAAATTCAATAATATAAAACACATATTTGTAATAAAAAATATTACTATAATTTGACAATCAAATGTTCATTAAAATAAAATCATTTGTCAATCAATTTAAATTTAATAAATTTAATATTTTTCGTAACAAACAATAAATCTTATATTATATTTATTCTTTATAAAATAAATCATTTTTAGGAAATACTAATTGATCAAATTAAAAATTTGTTAAAAATAATAATTAAATATATTATAATTCTCACCATATTTAATATATATCTATATAGTATAACTATAATGTAACCAACCAAAATTAGCTAGATTACCTAATTTTTCAATCAATAAAATTAAAATCCTTAAAGATATTGTATTTCTATCGTATTTAAAATATACCTTCTTTAGTATATAATACAATTTCTTAGTTTATATAGAATTTAGATTTAAATAAAAAATTGATGTTTTTAAGTAAAATTAAAACTTAATTTGAATCAATAAAATAAAAAGATATTTTTTTTGAAAGATATTCTTACTATATTTAATATATACCTTATACCTTTATATAATATATGATATAATTTCTTATTTTTATGCCAATAGAATTTATTTTATCCAATAGAATTTAGATTTAAAATATTAATTTTTAAAATATAAAATTAATATGACCTATCTAAATTAAGTTACCATTATTTAAAATTCTTAATATATTTTTTATCAATCATAAACTTAATTGGGGCGTTTTTGACAACCTCAATGCTCTATTCCCCATTCTCACTTTTTATATATTTAGTTTTTTGGAACTTGCATTTCACATTGTTTGTATTTTGATATTTACACGTAAAGTAAATGTGATTTAATTTATATATATTTTAATTTTTAGTCGTAAATTATAATATTGTTAACATTTATATTGTCTAAAAATCTAAGAGCATTCACAAAAAAAAAAAAAATTGATATTTTATGAAATAAAAAAATTTTAAAATTAATTTTTCTTTTTTGAAAAGAAGTCAAACTAGAAATTTCATTAAGAGGAAACAGTATACAGATATGAAATATAGATCAATATATTTCTATATTCTTATAAAGCAAGTATAATAATAGACCACTCGTATAAAGAATAAAATATACAATTTTAATTTGAAATATCTGATCAAGTTGACAGAATATAGTCTATGTACCACAAGCGATCGCTCGCTTCACTTGTTGACTATTTGTGGTCATTGTTCGACTTCATGATCTTTCTACAAATCTGATATGATTATATTCAAATTTTTTCTTTCTATCAAAGAGGAGATTTACACTTTTTTTTCTATATAACTACCTAAATAACAAAATACCATAAATAAAATCTATGTATAGTGATAACAAACTCAAAAACTGTTAAACGACCGGATCTAATAACAAAATACTAAAATATGGGCAACAATAATTTCAATATATAGGTAATAGTAACTCAAATTTGTATCAAAAGACACAAATTTAAGGATTATTAAAAAAAAAAAAAAAAACAAAAACAAAGGAAGACGAGGGTGGACCAGCTGTGATATTTGAAAAAGAAAAAAGAAAAAGGTTTTAGGTTTTTTTTATTGGAGAGAACAAAAATTAAATAAGTCGTTTACTATCAAAAAAAAAAAAAAGTCGTTAAGAAAATAATATATGTTTAGTACAAAATATTATTATAATTTCACAACTAAATTTTTATAAAAAATAAAATTGCTTATCAACCAATTTAAATTTTCTTAAAAAAAAATTTAAATTTAATTAATTTAATTTCGTATATAATATAATTTCATAATCTGTCTATATTATTAAAATATGAAAAATTAGTATTAGCTATTATAAATCTGTCTATATTAAAAAAAAAAAAAAAAAACAAAAACAAAGGAAGACGAGGGTGGACCAGCTGTGATATTTGAAAAAGAAAAAAGAAAAAGGTTTTAGGTTTTTTTTATTGGAGAGAACAAAAATTAAATAAGTCGTTTACTATCAAAAAAAAAAAAAAGTCGTTAAGAAAATAATATATGTTTAGTACAAAATATTATTATAATTTCACAACTAAATTTTTATAAAAAATAAAATTGCTTATCAACCAATTTAAATTTTCTTAAAAAAAAATTTAAATTTAATTAATTTAATTTCGTATATAATATAATTTCATAATCTGTCTATATTATTAAAATATGAAAAATTAGTATTAGCTATTATAAAAATTAATATATCAATCATTATTTTAGAGTACTATTTATATTTGATATTTTTCTTTTTTTTCTTTTTTTATTTTTTTTTTGCTAAACCTATAAGCACATAATTATGTTATAATTACTTTTTTTGAAAAAAAAAAATTCTTTTAATGTATTCTATGGTTTGCTAATATAAAGTGTTATATCACAATTTTATATTATATGTATATATTTCTGATGAGTTTTATTTTCTATTTATATAATTATATCAAACAATAAGTCTTATAATATATTTCTTAATAAATAATAATAAATTATATATTTTTTAAATAATAATTTAATTGTGGGAAATAATTATAACTAATCAAATTAAATATTTATTAAAACTAATCATTAAACATATTTTATCCTTACCATATCTAATATATATCTTATATAATATAATATAACCAATATGGATAGTCCTTCCTTTTACTCACCAAATTTTTAAATATTGGAAAGAGAGATTCGAATTTGGATTTATTGTCAGATCGTATATGCATTTACCTTGTCTTGGTATGTACTTTACTTACTAAATTAATAAAAACTATTGTAATTAAGAGAATTCGAAGCCGAGATATTTCACTTTTAATAGAATAACAAAAACGATAATAAACTTTTCTTGGATGAATTAGAAAAATAAACTTGATATTATATACAATATAAAATAAGTAGTATTTCAATTAATTTAGGGTTGGACAGTAAAATTAAAAACTCTAACTTTAGCTTTAATCATTAAATTAAAACAACAATACAATCCTCCATTACCATTTTTACCGTTCCTACTATTTTTTTTTTCTAACAAAACAAAATTTAATAATGCCTTTGTCTCCTTTCATTACACGTATCCCCCTGCCTTTCTTCCTTTAACATAAACCAAATTCAACCATTTCTGAAACTAAGCTCATCTCTCTCTCTCAAGAAACTCATCAAACACCTCGGGATCAATCAATGAGGTCCAAAACCCAATCTCCCATTAACATCAAGCTAGCTCTCCTCTGTTTCTTCCTCCTTTCTCTCCTTCTCTTAATAATTTGGTTAAATCTCTCTTCTTTTCAACTAAATTCAGCATCTCCCTTACCAAAAGCCCATTTATCAAATTCAACAAAAGAAGATAAAGAAGATGAAGAATCATCATCGTCGTCGTCATCATCTTCATCATCTTGTCCATCGCTTTCTTTAATTCCAACATGCAACAAAACCCCACCTTCATTAGCCAACGCATTAGTCCACTACGCAACAAACAACATAACACCACAACAAACCTTAAAAGAAATATCAGTAACACTAAGAGTTCTTGAAAAAAAATCCCCCTGCAATTTCTTAGTCTTCGGCCTCGGCCATGACAGTCTGATGTGGACATCACTCAACCATGGCGGCCGAACAGTATTTCTAGAGGAAGACAAAGCCTGGATCGAACAAATAAAAGGAAAATTACCAAGTTTAGAGTCATACCATGTAAGTTACGATACCAAAGTGCACGAAGCAGACGGATTAATGGAGACTGGACAGGGAGAAGAATGCAAGATTGTCAGCGATCCAAGATTTTCAAAATGTCAGCTTGCGCTTAAAGGATTTCCTAGCGATGTGTATGATATAGAGTGGGATTTGATTATGGTGGATGCGCCTACAGGGTACCATGACGAAGCGCCGGGGAGGATGACGGCGATTTATACGGCGGGGTTGATGGCGAGGAATAGAGAGAATGGTGAGACGGATGTGTTTGTTCATGATGTGGATAGAGTTGTAGAGGATAAATTCTCTAAAGCTTTTCTTTGCGAAGGCTATATGACGGAGCAAGAGGGAAGGTTAAGGCATTTTACTATTCCTAGCCATAGGACTCGTTTGGGTAGATCTTTCTGTCCTTAGAAGGTAATTTCTGCTTCTTATAGAGAATATACAATTCAATCTTCAATTTTATCACTTTTGCTTTTAATAATATGTCATGTTATGTGTTCCTTTCTCTCTCTCTCTCTCTCTCTCTTTTTTTGTTTAAAAAAAAATTAACTTTAATAATTTTAATAAATTCTTTAATAATTTTCTTCATTTTTAAGTTAATTTGCTTTTAAATTTTTTGCATCATGTTAATTTTTTTTTTTCCAGTTTCTTAAATTAGAGAAAAATATCAATTTGGAGAATGGAGAAATGGAAATTATATTATTTGTTTGAATATGCAATTAGCAGGGTAAAGGTGTGGTTCTTGTGAGTATGGTATGGTTCTTCGAATGTTGTTGTGAGTTTGCTTTACGATAAGAGTTCCCAAAGCGAATGACATTACCAGCCAATAAATTTTTTTTTTTTTTTTGTTAGAACCAAACATTATTTTTAATTAGTTTGGTACATAGATGATTCCATACTGAATGTAGATAAGCTTTTTTCTTGTTTTAGTATTACGATATGCGAGGGTTGATTCTTGATTCTTTGGTAGGCATGACCCCGCAATGTAGACGGTTCTAATTGGAAAAAAGATGGTCGAAGTGGTTTTGAAGATAGTTTTGGAACCATTCTGATTTCATTTTCATTTCGAATTTAGCTGATTTCATTTTCATTTCGAATTTAGAATCGAAATTAAATAATTTATTTTAAAAATTTTTTTAGATTTATAGTTTGAATAAATAATAATTATAAACATTACTAAACCAATTTAATAAATATTTTCAAATTTTATTTTAAAAAATTATAGTAAAATAAAAAATAAATTAAGAGTTTTTTAAAAACATGTTTTTACAGTTTTAAATCGGACTAACTGATTTTAAATTAAAACTGTCGATTTAAAGTTTCAAAAGATGAAGAACCGAAATCGAATTTTAAATACACAGTTTCAATTATAATTTAGAATTAGAAATCATTAACTATGGTTTAGTGCCGATTTTAATTAATTCGATTTCGATTCTAAAACCGAAACATGGTGATACCTATTTTGTGGCACCTCACGTTGCTGTGAAGTATGTTTGGGTGTGTATTAAATATATAGGATAGCATATTTTGTTAAAATTACCATAATTTTTGTAAAATGTGTGTATTTTTTTTTTTAAAAAAAAAAACAAGGTAAAGGGGATTTTTTTGAATGGATTGATTTCCTATGGAAGATTGAATATACAACATGATTTTGTTTTGATGTACAAGAAAAACAATGTAGGTAACCTATCATATGTTTTGCAAATTGCATTGATTGGTAGGAACTTTGAAAATGTTGAGGGTTGTGAGAAAAATTATAGTGATTTGACCTAGAGGTACCTAAGGGGTCACTCTGAAAAGCAACCTGCTTTTTTCCTCATTCCGTAATCCGTTTCGAATTTTTGGTTGTGGAATCGGGTTGAAGTTGGCTTGGAGGGATTGGTTCCGATTCCACTCCTAGTGAAAATCAATTTAAAATTGCCGGTTCAACCAATGATCTGGACCAATTTCTGTTCTTTGCTTCGTCTCTCTCGATAGTCCAATGACCCTTATATAAACTGATTTCGTTCTAAAAAGATATTTTCTATTTTTACATAGATTAAGAAATAATAGTTTTTTTATTTTTACTTAAATTAAGAAATAATAATTTTAATAATTAAAGGATAATATTATTCATATAATTTTCTTATGATGCTCATCTTAAATAACATATGAGCAATTATTATTTTGGAATAATAAATAAGAATTAATGAGGGTTCATTGAAAATAGTAAAATTTAATAAGAGTATAGTAGATAATTTAAGGATTAATTACAATATAAAAAAAGAAAGCATATTATATTTTGGGACAAATAAAAAAAGAAATGTAGACTGTCTTTTTGAGATGGAGAGTATTTTATTTTTATATTTTGTTAAATACATGAGTTTGCCCTTTCAGAAATGCATAACTTTGTCTCTATTTTATACAGAGACATATTAATTAATTTTGATAAATATATAAACAAAATAGTTAATAAATATACGGATAAATTAATTAATTTTAATAAAATATAAGAATAAAATAATAATTTTTTTATGAAAACCAAAAAATAGACGGAATGATATATAGTAGCGTAACGGAGTCAAAAGATAGGAAAAAAAAAAGTATTTTTAAAAGTATAAGGATAACATCGTGTATTATGATAAAATACAGGTATAAACTCATAATTTTCCTCAAGTTTAATACTACTAGATTTATGATCCATAGGCGTCCAAGATGTGAAACTACAAATGGCAAACCGGCGTTTATAACGAGGAATCAAATATTGAGATAGGCGTTCAAATGTTCGATTTTACGGTGGGACTTTAATTATGATTTTCTTTTTCTTTTTCTTTTATTTTTTTAAAAGGTTTCTTTTTCTTTTATTATTGTTGCAAAGAGCTGCGAGCCACGACTGAAAAAATAATTAAGAAAAAAAAGGATGAAATAAAATAAAATAAGAAAGACATAATTAAATTTACTAAATGCATAACTTGATTATTTATTTTTACGAATAATTTTGTGAGGTGTTTTAACTTATGAATTTGTATATTTCAATTTATAAAATTACATATATTTAATATTTCAATTTGATGTATAATGTATTAGACTTATTACAAAGTTATTTAATAGTTAAAAATATAAAAATTATAATTAAAAATTTAAGCTAATTACATATAAATTGATACTTAGAATATGAAAATTAAAAATTTTTAAAAAATTTATTATTGCTAGTGGGAGAAATTTACATTGTTATTAAAATTCTTAATTTTAGAAGGCACGACAAACAAGACTCTCACAAAATTTAAAATGCCACAATTTTTTTTTATAAAGAGTATATGAATGAACTAATTAATTAATTACGCGTAACTAATTATGGAATTTAAAAAATATGCATAATATTATGATTAGCAATCAAAGCGGGCAAGTATTTACAAATTTTAATCTACTCATATTTATACATGTTCATAATTTATTATCTATATCTGTCCTAAATCCGTTTAAATATCTATATTTTAACCATTTTAAAATTTTACTATCAGTACTCTTTCTAAACCTATATAGATATCTATTGAAATAGTGCCCTATTTATACTTTTTTTTTTAAATTCATTGGAGATTTTTAAGAGTCAAAATAATATTGCGGGCTACACAACAAGGTAGCCCCTTTGGCTCACTAAATTGGTAAAAACAATTGTGATCGAGAGAACTCAAACTCGTGACCTCTCACTCTTCATATAAATGAGAAGACTAGCCACGTCACCACCTGATTGCCTTATTTATACCCATTATAAATGGTAATTTTATTATTTTTATATATGTCCTAATTCCATTTTTGATATATATATCTTTCATTAAATGAACCGAATCGAGACAAATAGTCTAAAATACACCATTCACTTCCACTTGGATAGCCCCCATATTTTTACTTCCTAACTAAGATGCAATTAATTGATTTCTTCTTTGCCAAGTTGGACAAATAAATCTATTAGCAGGAATACTAAAGTGAGAAAAGTATACACAATAGCCGTATTCCATAAAAGCGTTTTAACGCTATTTTTTATATTATTTCGTAATATAGCTTTTCAACGATTTTAAAAATTAAGATAATATTCTATAAAAAATTAATCATAATATTTAATAAAAAATTTTCAAAAATTATCAAGTAAATGCTATAAAAATAGCTACCAACGTAAATATTTTCCGAACACATCCGACGCTACACTTGCTATAGTTTTATCATCAAATCCGTCTTCCGCTGAACTTTCGGTCCAAATCCAATCTTTTTAATACACATCCAGAATGGAACTACAACCGAGAATAAGGTTATCCAAGCAACCAAACACACGTCATATCATATCTCCACCGCGACTCTTATCTCTTCTCTCTCTCCGTAGACTTCACAGTTCTAATTGGGCGGAGCAGCCGCATAACAACCTATAATCGGCGACCGAAATGGCAAAGGGAAAGAAGGAATTGCTGTCTAAAGCACCATGGAGAGGCGACGAAGACGACGAAGCCAACAAATTCAAAGACGCCAAGCTCAAAGTTACCAATCAACCTGGCTCTACTCCCGTCATGCACGTCCCTGGCAAAAAGAACAAAAACCACCTCCCCGACGACGACGATGACGATGATCTTCTCGAACTAGACCCTGAACTACGCTATAGCTTCCAGCGCAATTTTCAGGTTTTAGTTTTGTCCCTAATTATCTTGCCTTTTTAAGTCTTTTCCTTCGGTTTCTTGTTTGACTGTTTAATAATTTGATTAACTCTGCAGTTTCTTCAAAGAGTGTTTAGTATTGATACAATTGTGAAGCCTCTTCCACCTGCTATGGCATACAACGTTTCTCGCAATTTGAGCTTCTTTACTCGAATTTTCACTCAGTTCTTTGGTAAGTATTTTCATTTACTTTATAATTGATTATTTCTGTATTGGAATTTAGTGCATCTAAGATGTTTTCATAATCTATAATCTGAGCAAAGGCTGTATGATTCATGATTCATATCATATATAAATATATTGGCCCGCTATGTCAGTTAGCTTTGATAGTCCTTCTTGTGATCATTGAGATTTGTGTCTCTGAAGCATGGAAGTACTGAGGCATTGAACCTTCTTTCCTGAATGGTTTTGATATACTTTTGAATGGACCTATATTCTGAGAATCGCATACTTGTCTATCCCTTTAAATACGTTTTCTTTAAATGAGGAATTGATTGTTTCATTATCTTCGAACAAAGAACTTCTCTTTTCCATTGTTTTGGTTATTTAATCATTTTTGAAGGAAAAAATTGTTCTTTATAAGTTGTATGAGTCATATGGTTTAGCAGCTTTTACAAAATAACCCATGTATCTGTTGTGTGTTGCTTAATTAATCAATTAAAAAAAATGTCCTTTATGAGCATTTATTAAGGTATTTTGTATCTAACTCCCTATTTGCTAGAATTGAATAATACTAAAGCATGAAGTTCATTTGTGAATGATGGAATATAGTTTAGTTATATTGCATTCATAAAAGTGAAATGAATATTTTTTATTCATACTAAATATGAAAATACGAAATTCCTAATGAATTTTCACAAAACTTTGAGGAATTCAACCAAATGAGGCATAAAATCAGCAAGGTCCTTTATCAAAAATTTTAGTGCTGATTTCATCAGCGCCAAGTATTAACTGCATTGCTACTTGAAGAAGAGCAGGAAAGTGGAGATTTCAGCAGGGTACTAAATTGGAAGTAATTCTCCCATCACGCACCCCCCAACCCCAACACACACACAGACACACAGAAAATGGCCATTACCTTTGCCTAATCATTGTACTTCCCAAATACCATAAAAATTGTGACACTTGTTTGCCATCAGCTGGTTATCCTTGAATTATTGCTCAATCTATTTGATACGACCTCATTCCAGGGATCTGAAACATGGGCACCGAAGAATAGTAGGAAATAGTTTTATTGCTTGTTTTACTGTGCTGGTGGAGTTACTTAACCCATCTGCGAGTATTTATTTGTTGCTGTTAAATAATTTCTGGATTCCATGTGTTGATGCATTTTTATCAGCCAGTTAAACAGAAAGTAGTACGGGTCTCTTTTTCCACAAAAGCATTTGTGCATGTGGTCTGACCCATGCAGTCATGGACATGCATGTTTGCTCACTTGAACACTTCACAATCAGTTAAAAAACTGCAAATAGCTGAATAATTGAGACCCAGAAGTTCACTTTGATATGCTTAGTGTAAAAGGGAAATTTTCAGGCTCTTGCTGATATTAAATAAACCCTCAATTGCTTGGTTTCAACCTTCTTTTTACAGAACTATTTCTTGGATGTATATTTTTATTATTGTAATTGCTGGTCAATTATATCCATATATTGTATATATGTGATTTTTTCTGCTTAGATATATTGATTAATTAGTGTTATTTATGGTACTGCAGATCCTGAAGGTATTGCAAATGCTGGGAAATCACTTGGGTTAGGACAGGAAGAGAAAGCTCGTCGGGTCCGTTGAGAATGAATGATTGAGCATGCCTCTTCCTCAGTTATTGTAATTTTGACTCTATTTGGATCTTTGTTTTGCCAATACTTTATTCAGAATGATTTTTTTCTTCTAAATTCAAGCTCAGAACTCAGTAATTACAATATCCTGAAGGGATTACTTAAATGGGATCTATTTCAGGGGAAATGACAATACTTTATAGAAAAGAATGAAGATTTCACCAGTGCATTTGGATGAGCTCCTATTGAGATTCCTACAATAGCATCATGCCATCATCTGAATAAAACACAATAACCTTGTTTTCCAAGATGCATAAACATATTATATGGATCGCTTTAAGTAGATACATAAAACACAATAACCTTGTTTTCTAAAATTTACAATTTAACAGTAAAAAAAAAAAAAAAAATGATCCTGGTACTCTTGACCTTAATCATGCCATTTGCAATTCACAACTTGCTATAGATAAAAAGCCAGAGTCAAACAAAAGCCCAATAGTCATAACATGCAATACTATTACTGCCTCTATATACGTGTGAACAACAAGAAGAAAAAATTGCAGTACTGTACAAAGGAGTTCAATCTCTGCAGATGATACTATCATTGATTACTGATTCCACATTCTGATAGAAACTTTTGATAATCAATTTCAAGTTTGCTATATGCATGAGACATATCTTCAAAGAAATTCGAGTCTTGATCTTCTGAAGCATTCTGCAGAACCAAAAGAAAAAAAAGGTTCCAGTTAGCCTATCGAGCGGAATCCTGGAGTTTCTGTTCATCGTCTTAAAAGAACTAAATGAAGATGGCAAATAAAATTATAACTAATATAAGTGGTTACATTGGAATCTGGTCTCAAATCAGAATCGAGATTAGGTCCCTCGACGTCAATCAGGGCGGATTTCCATCGCATACTCCTGGGCTGATCACGATGATTCTTCCTTGATTCATCTGAAGTTTGGAGTTCAGTGTCTCTAGGATCTCCAGAGTGAAAGACACCAATTATGCATTTGATGCAAAATGCAATAACAAGAACCAGAAACAGAAAATAACCGGTGGATTTAGTCCGATTATTGAGTAGACATGCCTGTAGAGGTCATTACTATTGATGAACATATAAGAACAAAGAAGTTCGAACACAACTCTCATAATCTGACATGACATTGCAGAAGTAAAGTTAAATATGTTTCAAAATGTCTTACATGTGACAAACCATGGGATGTAAGAAGCATGGTGAAGGCTTTTCGATTTAAGAACCCATCCTGAGATCTTTCTTGTTTATAGAAGATAAAAGACTCTCTTTTCTTGGTCTGATACAGATTGAACCCAGAAGTCATAAAAACCAGATGCAAAATTTATGATGCCCAAGCAAACATGAATCAGTGAAATATTTTGTATTGAAAAACCTGATGTAAAATTAATGGATAATCTTTTTCTTTTCTGGGTAATATAACTAAATTAGACCACAGTTGATTTTCTAAATTCTGCTTACTAATTGAGGGTCTTCCATTCCAAAAGCAGGAATGTTAAGGAGCTGGCCTTTGAAAAGAATGTTCATATCCAATTTATTAGCTGCTGCAATTGAATCAATAGACACTCCATACTGCTTTGAAATTGATTCCACAGTTTCACCACTACCACCAAAAATTATACAACTCCATGATCAGCCATACAGGGCAAAAAATAAACAACCTAGAAACCATAATTATCTTCTATTTACTTATATTTGCAATTCTTCCATAAGTAAGATCCAATTATACTAAAAAGGCATTGAAAGTTGAATCCTAAAAAATGCAGAACATTATTTAAGATTTCCGATTACGGGTTCATTCGGTAAATTAGCACCGAATTAGCTGTTTTGGTGTTAGTTATTAGATAGCTGTCCACAAAATTCTAAAAGAGCTAAACATAAATGTTACGTGGGTTAACTTTTTATAAAAGCTGTATTTAAAAAGCTATTACAGAACAACGCCCTACCTACAGCTCAATCAAATGGAAAGTAATTGCTTCAAACTCCACTATTGAACAATTCTAAATTGGTGAGTCATATTTTATATATTATATATATGATATATATATATATATAAAGATATTGGAAGTTACTATATATAAAGAATTGGAAGTTACTCTTTGACCACATGAACCAAGCAGTGGTTATTGGAGCCTTGACCCTTTGGCTTTGACATCTCCTGAACATGAAATCTACAGTTCTGTGACCAAAAATTCCCATGCATTAGGAAATTTTTATTAAAAAAATTGAGAACTGAATAAAACCCATTAAGGAGAGTACCTCTGCAAGATCTGTTAAATGCTTCTTGAATGATTTTTTGCTCTTAATCCACGATTTGAAGCAGCAACTAACAATAGTTGGAGTTAAAACTAAGTCTTAAACTCTAATTAAAACAAAGGAAGTGGGAAGTAAGATACCAGTGAGGGAAAGAGAGGAAATTTGTTGTTGATGGTCTGAACAGAGTAAGAGAGAAATGTATTTTCTGCCTCAGCGTCACTTCCATCACACATTAGATTTTGTTTTCTGGCTTAGCGTCAGTTTTGGGTCTCTCTTTCTTTTAACTTTTATTGGCGCTAAAGGCGGACTAAAATTGAAGCAAAATTTTAATTAAGTCCTCCAAATTTTATTTGTTTACTTTTAAAACCTTATATTCCATTGAACGTTTACCGCGATCCCTAAAATTTGATAAAACACTTAACTCGATACCTTTTTTTTTTTTTTTTAATTTTTTTTTTGGGAAAATGTTAATTGGCTTTCTAAGTTTTGGCCTAATTAACACTTGAAGGCTTCAGTTTCCAAAAACCAACTTCGAAGTCCCTAAATTTTAGTTTCGTCAATAGAAAGGTCCTTCCATCCAAAATCAATGTTTTTTTCCGTCAAATGGATGTGGAATTCAGAAAATGCCCTCCTGATCTACTTTTTGAAACTGTTTTTTTCGCTTTCCCTTCTCAATGCAACCAAAAGTATCTCTCTATCTATCTTCAAAATCGAACAGATTATCTGTGCTTATCTACAAATTTTCAGTGAAACTCGCTTAAATTCACCTACCAATAGCATGATTTGATCGGATTGGATCAAAGTAAAAAGAGCTCTTATAAAAAAAGAAAAAGCTTGAATATTAGTTAGAGTTTACTGAATTGTACACCATTACAATTCTATCCTAATTTGATCTTTTTTACATATATACCCTAATTTCACCTTTTAATTACAATTCTATCCTAAAACCAAATTTGAGTTATAATTATTAATAATTTAATATTAAATGTGACATCTTAACCTAAGCTTTCTCTTTTGGCCCCCTCTTATCCCCTCTCCTTTTCATATGGTAAAAGTAAAGAGACTGAGAAAGAGGTACAGACGTCAAAAATTATTAATAATTTTAACTCAATTTGATTTTAGGGTAGAATTGCAACGAAAAAGTGAAATTATGGTATAGACGTCAAAAAGATAAAATCAGGATGTAATTGGAACAATATCTTAAGTTGAGAGTATTTTAGTAGTTAAGCCCTACATAACTGGTTGAGTTTTTCTCTAGTTAGTTGTTGATGGATTTTTTAAAGCCGGGATGATATGCTATGCATGGAGCCCATAATATAATTTTTAACAACTAATACCAATTGAATTTGGAAAATAATATAAAGGTTACAATTATTATAAAAAATATAACGCGTCAATTGATATAATTAAAAGAATTGATCAAAATTATAAATTCTAAATTTAAAATATTTGTTAAATACTTTGGCGTCAATAAATAATTTATCAATTCATGTATAATTAATTAAATTATAAATTTTGATTTGTTTATTTGATTGACCAATTAAATCATTTTAAAAAGTTGCCAACTAGATGTGGTCTAGTTCTTCTTTTCAGTAATACGAGGAGTGCAAAGCCTCAATTGAAGTCCAATCGATAAGGATTTTCACCAATGTAGTGAGTTAAAGGGAATGGTATCTCTATTGTATATCCGGTGTGTTATTTTGGTCTATACGAGGCCTATTAATAAATAAACAAAATCATTTTTATTTAATTCTAAGAATACTTGGTGTTGCCTCATTTTTCTTTCTTTATTCTTTTTTCTTTAATGTGTTATACACTTAATTTAATTTATATGAGGATAAATAATTATTTAATTCTTAAAGATTCAATTTAATTAATAAATTCATCATTTTTTTTTGAAAAACGAGTTAAATAATTTTATAATTTTTAAATAATCAAATTATGAAAACATAATATTATATTTTATATTAATTAATTGAATTTTATGTTTAATATTAGTTTTAGTCATTTTTAATTTTTTAAGAAATTATTTAATATTTATAAATTTTATATTTTCAATTGTAGTAAAAATTATATTTAAAATACTACATCTAAAAATTCAATTGAACCCTGCCTTCACCTATCAAGTGACCGCTCCGATTCTCAAAATATTGTATGATACAATACATAATTAAGTCCTTTAAAAAATCTAAATAATTATATTAACGTTAATTACTGATTAATTTACAAAAAGTTCAACCAAGAATAGAAAAATTAGTGCATAAATATTGAATAACATTTAAAAATTATTTGTAAACATAAATAGAAATTTTAAGAGTTAAAATGTTATTTAGAAATATAGACATTTAAAATATATAAAATCAAAAACATTATTATATAAATATATGTGTCACAACCCGATTCCATGGGCCGGACCGGCACTAGGGCCCAGGTAAGCTTAAGGCCCCCGAGGCCCGTAGTAAGCCTGAAACACGCCGGACCGGCACTAGGGCCCAGGTAAGCTTTAAGGCCCCCCGAGGCCCGTAAGTAAGCCTTGAAACGCCCCCGAGGCCCGTAGTAAGCCTGAAATACTAAAATTTGCTATCTTAATATACATTTCAAATATTCAGCCCATATTACAAAAAAAAAATAAACCTCAAGATTTTATTTCATCTCATTTCTAATATAGGCTCACAGAATCGTTTCGTCTACGATAATACACAACTAAATGTAAGTAAATTCTATAACTGCGAAGTCACTAACTGTTTGATATACATAGTCTTTTATACATACAGTTACATAGTCAAATAATTATGGAACTAAGGAAAATTTCTTTAGTGCCCTGTGTCGAAGAAACGTAACCTAAATCGAATTAAAGAGGAACTTACTTCCTGAAAAATTAAACAAGACATGTGAGTTTTTCCTAAAGTAATAATTATTGCACAACACATACAGTCACACAAATGTGTAAACATATCAATCTAGTCATCCGACTAGTTATATGCTCACACAGTCAGTCACAACCACACAATGGCACATCACCAGCACTCACAATCAGTAACCAGCTTCATATAATCCAAATCACGTGGAAATAGTCAGTGGAGGTCACCGAACCCCCGATGAGCCGTCCTCCCACATTTGGTCATTCCTCTCCACATGTTTGCACCAGGAGCGATCCCCCCATACTGGCGACCCGGTCTAATCCTCACTTGACCAGCCCTCTCATTGTTTTTCTATCCTCTCTTTTCTTTTTCATTACCAATAGGAGGCAACCCGGTGGTCTCCATCCAATCTAGATCATCAAGCGCTCACAACAGGAGGCCACCCTGCGGGCTGCCGCAATTCAAATCTAGACTGTCCGGTGCGCAACGACGAGAAGCCCAACCCGTGAGTTAACGGGTAACGGTAACGGTAGTGCACACGGCTGGGCGCCGATCTTCCCATTTACCAGGCTAACGGTAATTCATATTTGGATCCATATAACACATATACCATTCTCACAAACCCATGGTGATCCACTTCATCCCAATTCCACACAAACAAAGCACATCAATATCACAACACAATTAATCAAGTATTGCAAGTAAATACAGACATATTGATCAATTAAGCATCGAAATGCAATGCTCAATTAGACATTCATACTCAAATGCAAATAAATAAATAAATAATATCAACAATAAACGACAATGATAAGATAAATAATAATAATAATAATAATAAACAATAATGATGAAAATAAATAAGTAATTGAATAATTAAATGAATAATGATGATAAAAATACAATAATTAGAGCACCCCATTTATTATGTATTAAGTTATATGATTAATCTAAATAGACTTATTAATTATGTTATTAGTTAAAACTGGTCTAGGGTCTTTCGGAATTTCGGCAGCATCTCCCCTAAAAATAGAACTATCTACCTGTTTAAATATCACAGTATTATTATATATATATCAATCATTTACAAACTAATTCTAATAATATCCATATGAGATCATTTATTAAGTCATTAATTAATTAAATTATTAGCTTTACGGTAACTAATTTGTTAAACAGCTAAAACATATTTTAACCATAACTAATTATAACTACTACCTATAAAAATTCAATTTTTTTATATCAATATCGAAAATGGCTAGGCCTCCCAAATCTTAATTTATCGAATTTCGATTCTAGTCGTTAACCAACTAAAATTCGCCTTATTTCTCTTATGCACAATCGGCTAGTTTTAATCTAATGGTTATCTAATTGACTAATTAACTAATTCTAATTTATTCTTTCTCCTCAAATCACCTAATCATAATATTAATCATGTAATTTATTTGACAATGTTCTAAACTAATTTACAATTACATTATTCTAAAGTCCTAAACCAGTTAACAAATTATGTTCGCTATCCAAATACGCACACTAATCAATCTAATTTATTTACAAAAGACCATAAATGTTCATATATTTTTAAGTTAATCCAATAAGTTAATGTCTTGTTATTCAATTTAGTCTAGTTAATAACTCAATTAAATTCATTAATCAATTAATGCTTTATATATAAAAATTGAGAATTAAGTCTTAGAACGTACCCATTGGGAATCGGGCGACGATTCCATGATTAGCGGGAAGAGAAGAGGATTCTGTCTCTCGGGGCCTCGCCGGAGCGCCGCCGGCCGGTCACCTGACCGCCGCCGCCGACCGCCGTGCACGGTGCCGCCGCCGCCCGGCCGCGTGCACGTGTGCCGAATAGTCGCTGAGTCCCAGGAAGTGCAGTTGGTTATAACCACCCGATCCCAATTTTTGTGAGGATTCCTAAATCTACAATTCGTGTTGTTGAGCTTAGTGGCTCGTTGTGCCGAAACAGCCCGATCAGTCCCTCCGGCCTTTGCGGGCCATGGTGTTTTTCGCAATTTCTTCCACTTAAAACTCCCGTCGCTTTCTTGGATGGAAAACTTCAGCACAGTGGATGGAGGAGTCGAATCGGAGCTCACCTGTTCACACAGGATGGAGGAGTCGATCGGAGCTCACCTTGAAGCTTCACGTCGCCGGAATCGCTCGATCTCGCCGGAGTTGCAGCTGCGTCGCGAAGAAGATGAGGAAGCCATATCCGCGCCACTGAAGGTTCGATCGGAGCGAGGGAAGACTGGAATCGTGCCCAGTATCGCCAAAGGAATCGATCGCCACTTCATTCTTGTCGAACGGTGGCCGGAAGCGAAAAGGAGAGGGAAGAGGAGGGGCTGTCGCGCGCGCCAGGAAGAAGAAGGGGAAGAAGAAAGAAAAGAGAAAGAAAGGCGGTTCTACAAGAATCTGGGTCATTTCGGTTCGATTCGAACCGGTTTGATTCAATTCAGCGATTTAGCTCGATTTTGTTTTGTTATCTGGTTTTTTTTTTCTTGGTTTTTAGGTTATTTGTGTGGTTTCGAAAATTAATTTGATTTCTGGGTCCGGTTCGATTTATTTTTAATTATTTTACTTAGGTTCCTTAACTTTTTCTCCATTTACTCAATAACCATTTACCCTCATAAAAAATTTTAAAAATATTAATAGTAATATATTTGATTTTGGGTTAATTAATTTATTATATATTCATAATAGATTAAATTTTGTCTGGTAGATTAGTTTATATTATTTTCTTGAAAATTTTAACTGTTTTCAAATCGAAATTTCTGATGGATGATATTGGGCTTAGGCCCAACTCTGCAAACTTTGGTCTCTGAATTGGGTAATTTTATTTCTAATTGTAGCCCACACCATTCAAAATTTCTGATTTTATTTAATAAAAATTTTCAAAGGTTCGAAAATAATAACATTTCGGGGTGTATTTTTATTCTAATTGTAGCCCACACGATCAAAATTTCTGATTTTTGATTTAATAAAAATTCAAAGGTTTCGAAAATAAAAATTCGGGGTGTTTCAATATGGGACCACAAATATTTAAGAGTTAAATTATGTCTTTGTTTTATTAGTGTTTTAAAAAATAATTGAGCAATATCAATGACGTAAACTAAATATAGTAAATCAAAATTAGGATTTTTATTATTTATGTTTATACTTATTTTGTAATAATTTATTATGTCTATCACTATTACAATTCAACTAATTATAATGTATTATTTTGAGATTATAAACTTATTATATTATGAAATAAAGTACCAACAATTATTAGGCACGTTCCACGACAATAATTGATAATGCTTTTTTTTAAAATAAATTGATAACGTTATTAATCATTTATTATTAATTAAGAATTATTGTTAGGACTATTTAGCCAGTTTCTGTATACAAAATGTTTACTGCTATAGTGTATATATATATATATATATTTTTTTTTTTTTGAAAATGTAATTCATTAATAGTAATATCAAAAACTACAGATAAACATATATATTAGACATATAACTTTACTGGCTAATAGAGTTTGCTGATCTTTTAACAAAATAAAAGAATTCACATCCTTTTGAATAATGAAATTAAAACTAAAAAAATATAATATTAGATTTTTCCGCTTGAAGTTGATATTGACAAAAGATATAAATCTTCATAGCAGTAACTTGTCTGTTAATTGATTTTAACGTCAAAATAATAATTCATCTGGATATTCTATAACTGGATTGCTTTTCTAATAATTTGCAACATATGACGAATACAGATGAGTTTCCGTTGCTATGCATCGATTACATCAATAGAGGAACATGCCGCACTATCAGGCTTCATCGATTGAAAATCCACACTTGCAAATCAAGATCTAAAATCTCCAATAAAATAAAATCATAATATCATAATTTTATTTAATAATAAACCCTGGCAAGAAGGGAATACCACTCACAAAGAAGGGACAATAAAAACAACAAATATGGAGATAACCAACTATAACAAAACAAAAAGACAGATCTATTATAGGGAAAACAAATCTAAATTTATTGAAAAAAACGAAGATTAAAAGCAAAAAAAAAGACGAAGGGCAAGAGATAATAGAAAGTAGGAGATAGGGGCTACTGCTGATAAACAGCGGTAGCCCCAAACTAAAATTAGGGTTAGAAACTATAGAGAAAAGAGAGATAGATTTATATAGCAGCAGCAGTTGAGCGCCCCGAACAATTAATTATTCACTCCTCTAGTATCATTTGATAAAGTAATATTTGTCATATTTATGAATTTTGTAAGTAATAAATCTTTTTTTTTTTTGTTTTTTACTTCTTGTATGTGATAACATTGATTGCTTCATTTCCTCAATAATTTATTATAGATTAAAACAAATTGAGTGATTCTTTTAAGAGACGTGCAATATTCAAATGTGACAAGATTTAAAAACAGAGAGATAATCAGTACTATATGAATTCAACCTGCACAATATATAGGAATCGACTAGTTATATTTTATAGTCAGAAGCCTTTCTAAATTTTGGCGCATCGAGAGGCTAATTTTTTGTGTTGATTTTCTTTTTAAATTAGCTAGTGATTTTTTTTTGGGCATTCATTTTTTGATGGACCCTCTCACCCATAACCGCATCCTAGATTATGTTTGTAGCACATCCTTAATTATTATTATTTTATTAAACATGCCTCTATTTTAAATTTCTTAGAGATGGAGTGAAGAAAAGTAAAGGTGTTCTGAAATTGTTAAAAGTAGGTGAGAAAGGAAGACAGAAATAAAAGAAAAAACTTATAAATAAATTAAAAAACATAATATTTAATATGATTGGGAAAATTAATTAACTTTCGAATTAATTTTAGTTTGATTGCTGAAATTAATATATTTGAAACTGTTTTACAATTATAAAATAAATACCTCGTAATTCTACATTAGTTATAAAATTCTTTTATGATTTACAATACCTTATAATGTGACAGCAGATCTTTACCATTTATGAGATGGAATTAGAATCTAATAATAATTTTTATTATAATTTAGAAAATATAATTATTTTATAATGTAATTAATATTTTATCAAATTTATCTAATTTTACCTAAAATTTGAGCCAAACAAAGTCCTTAAATTTTTATCTAAAACTTTTAAAATCCTACATATAAATAGGAGGGATTTTTTTTTTTTTTTTTTTTTTTTTTTTTTTTTTTATTAAATAGGAGGATTTTTTTTTTTTTTTTTTTTTTTTTTTTTTTTTTTTTGTTTTTTTTTTTTTTTTTTTTTTTTTTTTTTTTTTGAGTATGGGAGAGGGGATTCATGCATTCGGCAGGTTTGCTTCAAATTAAATAGAAACAATGTTGACCGAACAAATCTAAATTGTTTAAGAAATAAAACCGGACTGCATAGTTTATAGAATCAAACTCAAGTCCAATTTTAGCAATTTTTGGATAAGTTTATGCTTATTTTTTAGGCTTAATAAAAACCAGAAATTAAATTGAAAAAAAAAAAAATTCAATTCTTTCCATTGAAAACTGAAATCGAAACAGATTATGTAACAGATTGAATTGAACAAAACCGAATTAGTTTAGCCCGTTTATTCGGTTTTTACCAAACTTTTAAATCAGTGTTCTTTACTTATTAAAAATTAGTTTCTTATATTTATTATGTTGAAGGTTGGTAGATAGGATGTCATCTAGCTCACACTCACAAGAAATTTCTGCCACCATAACTCCACTGCAGAAGTAACACATGACACACAACTAAAAGTATTCTCCAGTTTCCTTTTATGAACCCTTTCTCATGCCAAACCTCTAACCATAACCCATATCACATGAATCCAATAATAGCAGAACTAACCCAAAATGGAGACCTATAAAAAGCACTTGGAGGGTGTCTTTCAAGAACATAAGAGAATCCCACTTGTAAAGTTAGGGTTTAATTAGGTCAAACATGAACAGAATGAGAGGATTGGTTTTGTCATTTGCTATGGTTCTATTGTGTTTAACACCTAAAAAAAGTTGCAGTCAGCCCCAAGAAGCAGCACAAGTGCCTTGTTTCTTCATATTTGGTGACTCTTTGGTTGATAATGGCAACAATAACAGAATGCTTACACTTGCTAGAGCCAATTACAGGCCTTATGGCATTGATTTTCCAACGGGTACTACCGGCCGATTTACCAATGGTCGCACATATGTTGATGCATTAGGTATAATTTTTATATTTCAAGATAAAAATGCATATTTTAAAGTAAGAAAGAAATCTTGATCACCAGATTATGATGCTTTTGTCTTTCAAAAATTATTATTATTTGGATACTTTCATGAGATGTCCAGGCGGTGAATCCGACTAACTTCCATTCGCCTCAAAGGCAAAAGGGTAAGCTTGGAGAGAATTTATATTGCGGTGGATCGAACCATAACCTAAATTATGGTGATCAACCCTCGAGTATTTATTACCACTGAGTTACCCCATTCAAATTAAATCTTCAAGATTTTAATTATGTTTTTCTCTCCTTCAAATATTCTCCTTTTTTTTAGTACTATCATGGGTATCTCCGTACGAGACTATTTTTACTTTGGGGTTTGTATCTATAACTCCCCATGAGTAATTTTTGCACGCATCAAACTCTTGACTTCAAATATTTTTAATTTAAAAGAATAACGAAATTAACTACAAAAAAAATTATCATTATATATTTGCAGCTCAACTTCTAGGATTTCGAAATTACATTCCACCCTATGAAAGAACTCGAGGCCCTGCAATTCTAAGAGGAGTGAATTTTGCATCTGGAGCAGCTGGCATTAGAGATGAAACAGGAAACAATCTGGTACTTGGAACTTAATAAGTCTACTCTCTTCTTTTTTTTTCTTAATTTTCCATAATTTTATACATGACAATGAATTTAGAAGGGTGACATTTATATATATATATTTTTGTAGGGAGGTCACAGTTCAATGAACCAGCAAGTATCCAACTTTGGTACGACAGTGCAAGCAATGAGGAGATTCTTTAGAGGAGATGGAAATGCACTAAACACCTATCTTACCAAATGCATCTTTTATTCTGGAATGGGAAGTAATGATTACCTTAATAACTATTTTATGCCCAATTTCTACACAACAAGTTCAGATTACACTCCTAAAGCTTTTGCTGCGGTTCTTCTTCAGGATTACACTCGTCAGCTAACGGTAATTTTTATATATGCTGTGCTACAATGACCCCATTTTGATGAAGTCAAAATATTACCTCTATTTTTTGCAGTGTTAAGTGGCATAGGGGCTATACTATTGTTTAGTTTGAGAGAGTAATCTATGAAACTTTAACATTTGATAAACGCTAATAAAACAACTAACTGCTACTATGACAATTGACAACTTTAATAACTACTGAAATAATTAATTTTGCCGAACATTGGCAATAATAGCTTGAGAGAGTTTAAAAATATTAGGACACCTGGCAGCTTTGACTAGGGGTGTGCAAAACTATTGACCGAACCGGGCATTTTAGTTTGGCTCGGTCAAATATTCAAAAGAGCTTCGGTTAATCGGTTCATATGGTTTGAATCGAATTTGTTGTTCAGTATGGGTTTAAAACCAAAAGGAAATGGCCAAAACCGACCAAAATGGACCGAATCGATTGGTTTGGTTTGGTTCAATTCAATTCAGATCTCAATTTTTGTTCGGTCTATTGTGAAAAGTTCTGTTCTTATTTCATGGCCTCTGTTGAATTCAGTTTGAATCAAACTGACCATTTGCTCACCACTAATTTTGACAACTATTAAAATAACTAATTTTACCGAAATGAGGTAATACCAGCTTGAAAGAGTTTAAAAATGTAACTAATCTATTTGCCATTAATTGATTTTTCAGCAATTGTATGCATTGGGGGCTAGAAAGGTGATAGTAACAGGAGTAGGGCAAATCGGATGCATTCCATATCAGTTGGCAAGATACAATAGTAATAGCAGCCGTTGCAATGAGAAAATAAACGCTGTCATTTCTCTTTTCAACTCTGGACTTCTGAAGCTGGTTCAACGTTTCAATAATGGCCAACTTCCTGGAGCTAAATTTGTTTACCTCGATTCTTATAAAAGCTCCAATGATTTGTATTTCAATGCTTCTTCTTACGGTAAGTATAATGCTCAATTTGTGTGCTTGGACTTTACTGCAGTTTATAATTTATCCAACTAAAATTTTTTTAAAGAATTACCTCATAAAAATTTGAATTTTTTTTTTTTATTTTACTCTTTAAATTAGTAAAATTTTCAATTTAGTTCCTTAACTTTTAAAATTTTTTTAGCCTCTAACTTTAATTTCTGGCTCCCGTTATTGTATATATATGTGCAGGGTTTGAAGTGATAGATAAGGGATGTTGTGGAGTAGGAAGAAACAATGGACAGATAACTTGTCTACCTCTTCAGCAACCTTGTGAAGACCGTAGAAAATACTTATTTTGGGATGCCTTTCATCCAACAGAGTTAGCTAATATTTTACTGGCCAAATCAACATTTACTACACAGTCCTACACTTATCCTATAAGTATACAGCAATTGGCCATGTTATGAGCTTTACAATATGTATGCCTTTCATTAATTAATTATCATATATGTTTACCTTGAAAATACTATTTGGTTTTGTGTATTGTATTGGTTGATTTCATTTTGTATTAAGCTCATTTCTAATATATTTGATTTATATATTTTGTCTTTATTATATGCTTTATATATTTTTACATATTAAGGAATAATTTTCCTAATTTTTAAATCACAAGGCTACAGTCCTTTTTGCATTGAATGATAATCATAAATAAGGTATTTTCGAATATGCTACTCGATTTGACCTAAATATGAGGAAAAAACTTACCTAGACTAGATTTATGACCTCATTTATGGACCAAACCAATAAAATTAAGAATTTTATTAAAACAATGGTATTTTTGAACATAAAAAAGATAAAATCGGAACACTTTTTAGAAAATTCTTAATTTCATTTATTTGGTTTATAAAGGGTATGGACTCAATCTAGGTAAGTTAGTTTTTTCCAATACAAATTTAAAATTGCAATTCATTTTGAGTTCTGATATGGTACAAGATAAATATATTAGTTTTTCTCGAAGAAAAGTTACAATTCATTACTAAATTGATATTAAATAAATTAATTTTTACTTTAAAATTAACCAGGAAAAGTATGCTTTTTTTTTCAACTAGTCGGTCCGATTCAATTTTTAGAACAATGCTCGAATTAACTTATTTTGTCAAAATTATGCAAGTGAATTAAATAAAAAGTTAAAAAGTTTATTACAAACGAGGTTATTATTAATATTTTTTTAAAATTTATTAATTTTTTCGAACGTACATTGCACGTTATTTGTACTCATTATAAGTAAATGTAATTTAATTTATATACATAATTATTTTTATTAATTTATATATATGTATTAACTTTTTATCATAAATTATTATATTATGAACAAATTATATTACTAAAAATCTAAGAAAATTCAAAAAATATATAAAAAATATTTTATGAAATCATAAAATAAAAAACTAACAAATATCTCAAAGTGTAACTTGACTTGGCTTATTACATTTTGAAATTATACTATAGATAGATATCTATTATTATTATTATTATATTAATCATTATTTTAGAGTATCATTTATAATCTTGATATATATATATTTTTTTTGCCTAAAGTCATGAGCATATAATTAATTTTATGTTTTCCTTTTTTAGAAAACAAATTCTTTCAATATGTTACATAGGTGGCTAATGTAACTTGTTATATCATAATTTTATATATATTTTTAGTGAGTTTTATTTTTTATTTTATATCAAATAATAAATTATCTTATAATATATTCCTTAATAAATAACATTTATTATTTGTATAATATGTTAAAAATAAAATATTTATTAAAAGTAATACTTCATCCGTCCCATTTTGTTTGCTTGTTATTTCTTTTTTGGATGTTCCAGACTGTTTGCAAGATTTCTAAATTTAGACATGTAAACAATTATTTTTTCCATAATAACATTTTATAATTGTTCATTAAATGAATGACTTTTAGTATTTTAATGAGTTTTTAAGAGTAAAAAAAGACAAAATAATTTTTGTTGACTAAATTCTTAATGTTCTTGTTTTTCAAATCATGCAAACAAAATGAGACGAAGTGAGTAATTAAAAGTCTATTTTTTTGAAAGAAAGTTCATTCATTAATTTAGGAATAAAAGTCCAATAAACAGGAAGAAATCGAATCTCAAATCTTAAGACGAACATAGATAATTGATAACCTATGAGCACCAACATTGGCTTCTCCTAACCCACTTGGTGTAAATATAAAGCCTATTAGCAAGAATTCTTTTACAATCCATGACAATTAACCCAAAGTCAGAATTATTCAACTTAGATGAATTAATGCCGTGTATGAAGACTTGGCTATTTGAAAAAAATAATACAATTAGTGGGAAGTTTGTTGCAAGCGTAAAGCAGGCATTGGCACAAAGCAATAGCTTCAAAAATACTGGACTGAAAAATACTTACATAGCCTAAATTCATGAAATGAAACTAAAAATTTTTTAAAAAATATTATGATTTTATCTTTTTTTTTTATAAAAAATACCATCATTTTAATAAAAATTTTTAATTTTATTAGTTTAACTAAAGGTGAGATTACGGATTCTGTATATATGAATTTTTTCCTATACTGGACTTACGACTACCTTCTTGAAAATCCGGCACATCACATAAAAAAAGCACCCTCCATATCTTCAGAAACAGCTAGAATCCAACCATATCTTGTGCTTGAAAACTGGTCCCGTCAATAAAAGAACACCAATTTGGATTAGAACTACCTGTTCTTGAATGGGCCACGTTGGACATGGAGACCACCTAATGATAATGATGTGGACGTCCACTCTTCCATATAATATATTATAAGCACAGTTTCCATGCATAAATAGAAAATATATTTGTTGCTTTCCTTCCTTTGTCGTCAAAGACCTGCACAAAAAGGTCAGCAAAAGAAATGTTTTGATTTAAAATAACAATATCCCCTCTTCTCCAAACATCCATGGCCTGAACACAGTGCACTAAAACATTATCAAAGTTCTCTAATCTCTACAGCCCTCAATTTAAGAGCTTCCTTTGTTGGAAGGACACTCTGTAAGGCTCTTTATCAAAAATCTCTCGCCTTAGGAGGAACATCTAACTTTCAAATTCTACTCCACACATCCCTTTGAAACCTAATAGACTCTCTATCTAAAATCCTCCTACTCACATAATAAGTATAAATAACCCTTTTGTCAAAATGCCATAATTAATTTCTTTTGAAACCTGATTAAAATTCACGTTGATATCCAATCCGTTTAAAGCGGTTTTAGATATTTTTTAAATGAGCGTAGAGTGAATGCATGTATTTAAATTTCAAATATGTTTGAATATGAATATTGCAAAAGAAATTTTAAACAGGGATGGGGTGAGTATAAAAATTTTTAAACGGGTTTGAATTTGAGTAATGAAAATTTTGCACGTCTCTACCCTAATTCAATATCCGTTGCAATGTTTTAATATTCAAATAGACTTTTGTACATCCGAATTTTTGGTAATAGCAACCTAATGGGAAATGGAAAACAAAATCATAGTTTTTTTTTTTAATGTGTAGAAATTTTAATATTTAAATTATAATATATTAAATCAGTGTTTTGAACGTATAAAAATTCCAAACGTGTGGTGTTTTTACATGTCTAATAGTTATGGTTTATTATGTATAGAATAGAAATAAAATATTATATAATTTTAACTAATCAATAAAATTAAAAGTTTATTAATTAAGATTAAAATATTTTTAATAAACTAATAAAATAATAATAAATTGAAAGTTTGGTAATTAGGTACTATCAATTCACAGTACACATCAGACTTAAATGATGTCGGAATCCCATCCAACATCAACAATAACAATCACTATTAAAGATGTTTGCAATGTAAATTATTGATATTATTTAGAGGTGTATTTGAAAGCCACGTCACCACGATGATCCAAATATAATCTAAACAAAAAAGTGATACAAAATTTCAATTCACATATTTAAATGTTGCGGACATTATATGTATGAATGAAATTTGTTTAAGACTCTTAGAATAAAAATTTTCTAATTATAATAAAGCTAAATTATTATTAATAATATTTTTAATCAATTAATAAAATTAAAAGTTTGTAAGTTTATTTTTGAAAAATTCAATATTTTTCTCATTTTCACCTTTATATATACTAATTTTTTTTATAACGTGTGTGTTGCACATTGACTATACTCGTTATTCGTGTTCGTTTAATTTTTTATATCATTGCTCACTTTTAATTATTATTTATATTCGTTTGTACTTTTAAATATCAAATATTGATTATAATCTTCATCTTATATTATTTAGATTTTTATAATGTTAAAACAAAATTTCATATAAGACTAATATGAATATAATAATTAATTAATAAAATAGTATTACGCATATACATACACTTTAGTTCAAATTATATCATTATTTATCTAAAATTAATTATAATTATATATATAATCTTATAATAGCACCTAATAAATACGTTTCAATAGATATAGATACGTAGATATAACAATAAAATGTTACATATATTTTTAAAATTAAATATTTTCAACTGTTCTCATCCCATACATATGTTCATTTTATTTAAAAATAAATTTTACAAGTAAAGACTTAAAAATTTTTGAAGGTTAATTATGTATATTCTATTTGAAAATTTATTTTACAAGTAAAGACTTAAAAATTTTTGAAGGTTAATTATGTATATTCTATTTGAAAATTTATTTTTAAAAAATATATCCAATCAAATTTCATTAATGGCGCTATCTGAAATTCTATTATTCTCCCCTATTCCTACGTTTATATATAGTATAGATAAATTATAGATAGATTATATATTATAGATTATATATTGCTTAAATAGACTAGTCTTTTTATGATATGTATTGCACGTTGACTATACTCGTTGTTCGTACTTGTTTAATTTTTTATGCCATTACTCACTTTTACTTGTTATTTATATTTAATTTTTAATATTAAATATTGATTATAATTTTTATCTTATATTATTTAGATTTTCATAATGTTAAAATAAAATTTTATATGATATTAATGTAAATATATAGTTTAATTAATAAAATAATAATATGTATATATACACATCTCAATTTATATCATCATTTATCTAAAATTCATTATAACTGTATAATAAAATTTTACAGTATCACCTAATAAATATGCTTCAATATATAAATATATAGATAAAATGATAAAATATTACATATATTTTTTAAAAAAATTTTTTAATCGTTCGTCATTCCACACACATATGTTCATTTTATTTAAAAATAAATTTTAAAAAGTAAAAATGTAAAAATGTTGAAAGGCTTAATTATTTGAAAATTTATTTTTAAAAATATACCTCCTATAAAATTATACAAACATAAAGAATATTATAAAAAATATACTTTTTATTTTTCATCTCTCTTCTAAATAAAATATTTTAAATTAATGAAATCAAATTATTGTAAAAAAAATAAATTTAAAAAATAAAATATAAAAACTTTCAATATATATATATATATATATATATATATATATATTTAAAAAATAAAATTATTAAAATTTAAAATTTTAAAAAAATACTCAATTTTATTGATTTATTTAAAAAATAATTTTTTAATTAAATTTAAAATTTTAAAATACTCAATTATTTATATGTATTTATTTAAAAAATAATTTTAATAAATTATATCCTATCAACTACTTAAATATATAACTTATACACATTTAATACTTACAACCTCTAAATTTAATCAACTACCACATTCATATTTCAATTTAGTATTTGCATTATGAAATGCAAATATAAAAAGGCAAGGCAAAGTAGCTCCCAACATACAAAATTATACACAGAAGCAACACTTCTCATCCCCTTCCCCTTCAGCCAGCTTTATATTAGCTATGGCTGAAATCAAATTTATCATTTTATGGACTATATTCTGCTTTTTGGATTGCTGTAATGGTTCCTGTGAAGCAACAAACTCAAGTTCTTTACCAAAATTCTCAGCGCTTCTCTTCTTCGGTGATTCTTTACTGGATACCGGCAATAATAACTATATCAAGACAGTGCTCAATGCAAATTATGCTCCTTATGGTCAAGACTATCCTGGAAATGTTCCAACAGGAAGATTTTCAAATGGGAAATTGATTCCTGACATGTTAGGTTCCATTCTTGCAAGCAAAGAAGCAGTTCCTCCATATCTGGACCCAAAAGTTTCAGACAGTGATATAGTTTCTGGTGTTAATTTTGCATCAGCTGGGTCTGGATACGATGATTCAACAGCGTTGTTAACTAATGTTATTCCATTTTCAAGGCAAATTGAATTGTTTAAGGAATATATAGAAAGGCTTAAAGGTATTATTGGAGAAGTAAAAGCTAAGGAGATAATTAATGGTTCTTTAGTGTTTATAAGTTCAGGAACAAATGATTTAATTCTTAACTATTATGACATCCCTACAAGAAGGTTGGAATTTACTGTAAGTGATTATCAAGATTTTCTACTTGACAGGCTACAAAAATTTGTTAAGGTGAGAATTTAAAGTCATTAGTTGTTTTCTTTTCTTTTTCTTTTTTTTTTTTGAGAAAATTATTAGTTGTTTTCTATCTCTTAATATTTTTCTGGTTCTATATGTCCAAAAATTCTTAAACAGAATAGATATTAACCATTTTTTTTAACAGAAAAAAAATTCATAAATGTGTGTAATTTCAGGAGTTTTATGATCTTGGTTGTCGTTCAATTGTTGTATGTGGGATTGTTCCAATTGGTAGCTTACCTCTTCAAATGGTGATTGGAAGACTTGTGAGCCCATTTAGTTTTGAGGATCAGAACAGAGATATCCAACTTTACAATCAAAAGCTTACCAATTTATTACCTCAACTACAAGCAACTCTTCCTGGGACCAAATTTGTTTATTATGATATCTATGAAACAGCATTGGACCTCGTTAATCATCCCGAAAAATATGGTAAGCTAATTTATTTAATACAATCTATATATATATATATATTTATAAAAGTTATATATCAAGTAGAGATATAATGCATTTTATTAGGAACATTTTGTAATAATTAGAGATATTTTGGACTAACGACTATATATAATGGATATATATATGTAAAAGGTTTTACTGAAACAAAGAAAGCATGCTGTGGAAATAGGCCAGGCAACCTTCTGATTCTGTGTGATCCACTAACTCCACCATGCGAAGATGCTTCTAAATTCCTTTTTTGGGATACGATTCATCCAACTTTGACAGGTTACCAATTCCTTTTTAAAGATATTGTAGAAAATGTTCTTCCTCAATTCTTGTAGAATTATATATTTATTTAAGGAGAGAGATCCCCATTGTAATAGCTTCATTATTTATTCATCTCAATTAATAAATATATTGATCCAAAGATTTAGTTAACTAACACATTTCAATGATTGTGTTTTTTTTTTTTTATGGTTTTTTTCTTGATGAGCAAAGTTAATTTTATTTTATTTATATACATTGTTAAAGAAAAACTTAATATATCCAAGCACTAATCCTAACCGGTAGCCACCCCTACGTTCAAACCTAGTCCGGAAATATTAGATAATAAACCAATCTTTTGATCAGGATTACGTATCCAAAACAAAGTTCCTCCAGGTTTAGAAGATTGACATTTGTAATGTTTTTCAGGTACAGATTAATTGAACCAAATGCGGTCTCTAACACAAATTATATATAAGATCAATATAGGTCACAAATATGGAAGACTCTGACAATTTTTTTTTTTACATCGTATTGCAAGCAATGTTTTAAATTATTATATTAGCAAAAACAAACTCAAAGCATTAAAAATTAGGTTATATTTGTAAATAGAAAATGATATTGTCAAAAACCAAACCAAAGTAGCATACATAACTATTCTTTGATTTCCATAATATAAAAAAGTACCACACTCTTCAAATGAGATATATAGTAATTGGCATGAAGCTTGAAGCTCCTTTTTTTTTTTCTCTCTTTCTCTCTTTTGAACTCTCTCTATCAATTGGATTCAACTTAAAGATTGGCAAGCTGCTTGATGTTCATAGGATAAACAATGCTAGTATCTCCATTGAAAGCCTTTCTTCCCATCAAAATGTTCACAGCTTCTGTTGGGTGAAATGCATCCCAAAAAATGTATTGTTCTCGATTCTGACACGGTGTTTGGAAGGGAAGACATGTCACTTGACCTCTATTCCGGCCTATTCCACAACATCCGCGATTGATTACACTAAATCCTGCATATAAACGATATTGTAAAATCAGTTTTCCCGTACCAAGTTCGATTTCCAGCACAACAATTGAAACAGAAGGCATATATAGTCCCACGTACCATAAGCTGGAGAGTTTGTCAGGATATCTCGAAACATACGGTGAACATCAATGTAAATGAATTTAGCTCCAGGGAGATTGGAATTTAAATTGTTCATCATAGTTTTAACGTTTTCATTGAAGGGAAGAACAAGTTGATTAACCTCTTCAGAGCAAAGACCTGCAGGGCTCTGTGCCAGGATGCTTGGAATACATCCCATCACTCCTAAACCTGCAAGTATAAATTTTCTTGCTCCGAGATTGTAAAGGGTCTGTACTTATATCGCAGAACCAAATAGATTTTGTGTTAGAGATCGTACTATATATATATATATATATGCATATAAAGTAATTAAGATCAAGGAAAACGTAATTTTACCGTTAGTTGCTGAGTGTATTGTTGAACCAAAAGATTAGCATACTGGGGGCCATCATATTGATTCTTAGTAGGGTAATTAGGCATGAGATAGTTATTGAGGTAATCATTGCTGCCCATGCCTACGAAGAAAATGCTCCTTGCAATTGCACTAGCCACATCGATTGCACCAAGATTATCTGTGATCTGATCAAGCGTATTCTGAAAATTCTTTATCTGTTGATTAAATGGTATGCGACCCACCTGATCAAATATAATGATTAAGTTGTTAAAAGTGATATTCTAACACTAAGCCGATATTTTGTGATCCATAATGTAATATATTGTAATTAAAAGTATACAGACACTTTTAATTACGTTACATTATATTTCATTACAGCTCACTAAGTATAACTTTGAGTGAGGTTTTATGCTCAAATCTATTACCAGACTATCTTTGAAATTATAAAATAATGAGTTCAAACTAAATTGACGCTAAACTATATATATATAAACTTTGAGTGAGGTTTTATGCTTCAATCTATTACCAGCTATCTTTGAAATTATAAAATACTGAGTTTCAAACTAAATTGACGCTAAACTATATATATATATATATTATATATATATATTTATATATATATGAATATATATGAGTTGGATTTCAAGTTTCAATTTATAAAAAGAGATTACAGGATAGATAAATAGAATCTTTAAAAAATTTAGTATTTTTTTTTTTTAATTTTTCATAAATATTTCTACAATCTTTTGTTGCCAATCTAACAACCTACATTGTTCTTTTCTTGTGAAAATATAAAAGGTTCATTCAATGAATGTATGTCTGTCACAGGCAATACTTGATGACTGATGAGTCCACTGCCTTAAATTCTATTAAAGATAGCTACAGTAAATGTGCACATGAAGACATTTATACCTAACCAGAAAAATACCTTAATTATTTATTTGTCTGTTTCTCTACAGGAAGTTAAAGGTAGCAAGAGGACATAAATATTTCTATCCCTCAAATAGTTAAACATTTTTCTGTACAAAATAGTCATTCTAAAAAAGTAGAATTTTTTCAAAAAGGTTTTCTTTTTCCTTTTTTTTTTTTTTTTTTTTTTTTTGAAGTGGAATGGTTAGAAAATACTATGTTTTTTCCTTTTTTTTTTTTTTTTGAAGTGAATGGTTAGAAAATACTATGTTTTCAAAGAAAAAGTGTTTTTCATTAGTTTGATTCATTTGATTCATTAGTGTATCTATAGACCGGATCTAAGTAAGTCATTTTCATATAATAAAAAATAGAAAAATGCATGCAATGAACGAAATTACTGTCTCAACCTCTTCCAATTAGTGTATATATATATAAATTAAAAATTGGATAGACTTACAAAATTTCTGCCTGTGATATCGAGAATTCCAGCAGCGGCAGAGGCATAGTTGACTCCATGAAGCACATCATCTCCAGAAGCTTCTGAGTAGGCAGGAATTAGGGGAAGTCCTAGCAGTTCAGCTGCATCCATAAATAAAAGAAAATTAATGTTAATTATGATTTAATATTAATAATTGTTTATTTCTTAAGATTCAGATTTTGATTAACTGAAGATTGTCTGAAAATGACTAACAAAATTAAGTTTGCACATTAATGAGTGGTAGAGTACATGTCATTACTGCAGCCCACATAAGAAATTTTCATATTTCTGTTTTATTAAATTTTTTTTTTTGTTTTATTCTAAATAAAATGGATTAATAAAACAAAAGAATTTATTTTATAAGTTTTCTCAACTATGACAATAAAGCTTTTCTATTCTAAAATATTAAATAAATTAATGTTCCCTTCCATAATATTTGTCACATTTGGAATTTCACTTTTCTTAAAAAAACTATTAAATTTGCCTAAATTATAATAAATTATTAAATAAATTGACTATATGACCTTTAATTTAATATTAATTCTCAAAGAAACACATTAAATTGAAATAATAATTATTGTTATGGACAAAAGGTAAACATGCAAAAAAATATTTATTATTCTTTGAAATCACAAATGTTACAAATATTTTAAAACAAACTATTTTATTAAACATGACAAGTATTACGAAATGGAGGTAGTAAAACTATGACATTGAAAAGCAAAAATTAAAACCCACAATCAAACTAAATATAATTTTGTCAAATCATAGTTTTCTGAAATAAACTTTTAGATATCAAAAATTAATGGAAATAATGTCAAGAAAAGAAGGAAAATAATTCTAAAAAAAATAAAATTGGAAAAGAAGGAAATTAAAAAAAAAAAGAAAAAGAAAAGAGAGAGAGAGAGAGAGAGAGAGAGAGAGAGAGGACCTATTTCATCAACCATGGTGTAACCATTGGAGAAACGACCAGTAGGGCCACCATTGAAGTCAATACCATAAGGAAAATAATTAGCTTTAGCGAAAGAAGGAAGATTGTTATTATTTCCATTATCAATAAGAGAGTCACCAAATATAAACATAGCAGGCACCATTTCTCTTCTGCTTCCTCCAAATGGATCATCTACATTTTGCCCTAACCCTACCCTTAACACAATACCAAACACACAGAAAACCGAAAACAGCCTCATAATAGCCATTAGAAAGAGAGAAGGTAAGCAGCAATGTGAGAGTGAAGAAGAAAAATATAAAAAATGCAGAGATTTAATAGAGAATTGGGTATGGTGAGTTAGTTGAGTTTGGAGTAAATGAATTCATCTGTTTTCTACATTGCAGTAATTACATACTGTCTCAGTCTCTCTATATTTTATATTATGGGCTTTTTTTTTTTTTTTTTTTTTGGTGAACAGAATAGGTGTAGGGTAGAATTAATAAACGCAAATTAAAAAAAAAAAAAAAGAACAAGGGGGTGGCAAATTGTCAGTGTTCTTTTTTTTTTTTTTTTTGGTAGAACAGAATGGGTGTAGGGTTAAATTAATAAACAAATTAAAAAAAAAAAAAAAAGAACAAAGGGGTTGGCAATTGTCAGGAACATAGCAACTGCTCAGTTGGTGATATATTCAATGCAAGGACCAAACAATATAATGTAGGAGTTGCTCTATTTCGTGTGTTTAATTAAGTACCTATATGGCTGCATTTATTAAATTAAATTTATTTTTGAAATTCATCCCTTTCCTTTCTTTCTTTAGATTTAGAAATATCATTCAACAATAAAACTTCTAAATTAAAAAAATTCTCATTTTATTTTTAATTCGACTCGGTTTGAGTCAGTTTAGTTAATTTTAATTAATTTTGAGCCAAAATACTTATATTGTGTAACCAAAACAAAAATTGAAATTAAAAGTATACATATACATATAGTTTATAATCAATGTATTAGTAGAGAGATGCAATTAACAAAGTAAAATTATAGTTTAATTATATTAACTAAATATTGTTAATTTACGTACAAGTTAAATTAGGACAAAATCATGGCATGAATAAAGTATTTATTTTAATATAAATATTCGGTCTAATGACTAAAAAAAAAGATTAAACTTTGGCACTTTTAATAATTTTCGGCAATTCTTTTAATTGCTACAATTGATACTGCACAGTAATTTATTCTATACAATTGTGGCTCCGTCCATTAATCGTTACTACTATACTTATGTGGCTTAGTGGGACCTTCAATATAACATGTCACTTGTTGACGGTGAATTTAAAAGGTATGATTATTAAAAAAATTGGACAAAATTATTAAAAAGACTAAAATTCAGAGTTTTTTTAATCGTTAGGCCAAAGTTTGTTATCACTTCCTATGGCTCTGTGTCAGCATAGTAATGGTTGATGAATGAAGGCCATAATTGTTAAAAAAAATTATTTCACAGTATTAATTATAGCAATTAAAAGAATTAACCAAAATTATTAAAAAGGCTAAAGTTCTTTTTTTTTTTTTTAGTCATTACTATTAGGCCTAAATATTCATCTTATATATTTATCTTGATTGGACACGAGTCATAGTAAGTGATAATAAATAGTTTCCAATTAAAGACAAGATAAAAAAAATTTCACTCTATATATTAGGTCTCATTTATTATATTTAACAAGGATTTCTAAAAATTAGTCTTATACTTTTTTTTTTTGGAAAATTAAATTAGTCTTATTCTTACTATGTAAAATTAGATAAAATCCACATACGTAGGCTTAAATCTAATAGTAATAATTGTTCTTTTTTTCATTATGAATTACTATTTCTAATTTATTAATTATTTAAAATTTTATTTTTTTGCACATTAAATATTTTCTTTAAAGCTACCAAAAGTTAATAAAATGCAGCATTTTAAAAAAGAGAATTTGGACCTGTTTTTCTTTTTATCGGGATTCCAACTAAAGACTTTTGCAGTTCTAGAGAACGCAGCTACATGAAAATTAGAAATGGAGATTGAAAAGTTCAACGAATTGAAAGAACACAGTGAGCTACATAATATGAGTAGTCTTCCACTTACTAAATTGATGATAATCTTCTGATAAAAAAGTCTCGAATTTGAAATCTTTCACTCTTCATATAAGTAACAAGTCAATAAAATCACACGCGGATTAGTGATTTAAAACCGTTTCATTAGTAAATAATCAAAAGTCAATTACTAAATCAAAGAAATGGACCAAAAAAGATCACAAAGGAGTAGTTTGGAGTGTTGGTCTATTGTCTTGGTATTCTAAACAACATCACTTTGATAAGCCAAATAGTCATTATTGTGCAACAAAGTCAAACACCCAAGGCAAGGCATGAACAATAGCCATCTTTTGAAGATAATGAAAATTGATTGGGCAATTTCAACCACCTTACTTGTATTTCTAGCATTAGTGTTGAATATTTTACCAAGAGCTCACATGTGCCAACTTGCTTTAAAAATTATATATTGAAATTTGACCATTGATTTAAAAAATAAATAAATTGATAAATTGTTTTATTTTTGATATTGTGGGTTATAAAATAAGAAATAAATTTTTTTTTTTGATAGCACTTATTAAATTAATAAAAAATTTTCCAACGAAAATAATTCAAATTCGAAATGTTTTATTTTTTCACATACACACAAGTGAAAGGGCCAGATAAGTGAGAGAACTTTTAAATGTCATAGACAACCTTATAAACATGTGAAGTATGAATAAGTGCTATTAAGTTTGACCGTCTAACTTTTATATCTTTGCAATTGAATCAACAAGAAAATAAAAGGGAGTAAAGGAAAGATATTAAAATTTAATACTAAAATATATCAAAGTGGGAAGAAATAAAAGGGTATTTTCGTTATTTTAAAGATATAAGTACCGATTAGTTCTATTTCTTAAATCACAGGACCATACTGTAATTTTCTCTTATTTAATTAAATAGATAAGCATACTTTATGCTTTTTGCTTCTAGACAACCAATAATTAACAGAAACCATCCGTCAGCAGCTACGTCAAAGCGAAAGAGAAAGGAAGAGCCATAGTTTGGATGGTGCGGTTAATAGGACCAGATTCATTCATGTCGCGCTCCTGAACGCTAACCTGAAGGGGTCGCCGCCGCCGGGCTTGTGGTTGTTGGGCTCTTTAAAATCCCACTTGTCTTCATTTCATCCTCACCATTATTATTAGCAAAAAGAGTGATAAAAGTCCAAGTCTCTTACAAGTTACTGTAAATTAGTATTGAAGACACAATGCCAGAACAAGATCAAGAACAAGACACTATAATGTGTTGTCAATCTCCCAGTATTCCACTTCTCACCCCGTACAAGATGGGGAAGTTCAATCTTTCTCATAGGTAATGTACTAATTCTTTGATTCATATTGTGTGAATTTTGATGTTTTGTTGGGGATGATTTGCATTTAGTTGAGTGCTTGTGAAAAGTCCTAAATGAAATACTATTAGTGCTTGAATCTTGTTCTAAATTAGTTATTTTGTTGTTCATACACTTGAGTACTAGCTACTATCCAAACACTAACACTTTTATTATTCATTTAAATGAAATAAACTATTAGTGCTTCGAATCTTGTTCTAAAATTAGATTATTTGATTGTTCATACACTTGACTACTAGCTACTATCCAAACACTAACACTTTTATTTATTCATATTAGTCAGCAATTTACCCTTCTGTAGAATAGGGATTGGATCTTAGAAATGGAGGGGGTTTGGGGGGGAGGGGGGGGTGGAACTGTTTTCTGAAAAAGTAAATGTATCTTATCCTAGCATAAGTTGAATATCATTGCTCAATGATTTTTATCAAACTGTTAATGTATAAGTTGCCTTGGCCTGTTGTAATTTTTATCAAACTGTTCTAATGGATAAAGTCATAGGAAGAGTCCTATAAAGGATCAAGTTCTCATTGACTTTTGGCTAGAAAGTTAGAAGCTTTAATTAATAGTGTATTGTCTATTTATTTTGGCTAAGAAAGTTAGAAGCTTTAATTATATTATTTCCTATTTAATGTCTCTTTTTCAGGGTTGTCCTAGCACCATTAACCAGGCAGAGATCTTTTGGCTAAGAAAGTTAGAAGCTTTAATTATATTATTTCCTATTTAATGTCTCTTTTTCAGGGTTGTCCTAGCACCATTAACCAGGCAGAGATCCTACCACAATATTCCTCAGCCACATGCCATTTTATATTATTCCCAAAGATCCACCAAAGGAGGTCTTCTTATATCTGAAGCAACCGGAGTTTCTGACACTGCTCAAGGGTAATTTTTGTTTTGTTATTATCTGCCTAGTTTTTATGTTCAAAATGTATAGGTAAAGTAAAGTTTGGTATTATTTGCTTTCTTAGCTTCAAGAATTTGAACTTTGATAATAATTAATGTTTTTGGTTTATTTGCATTTATTAATTGAAGGTATCCTGATACTCCTGGTATCTGGACCAAAGAACAAGTTGAGGCATGGAAACCAATTGTAGATGCTGTTCATGCCAAAGGCGGCATCTTCTTTTGTCAAATTTGGCATGTTGGAAGAATTTCAAATTCAGGTACTTTCTTGTTTAAATTTGGTATATTGGTGTTGCTTCCATCACTTAAATTTTGTGCTTGTTTTGTCACTTTGGATGAACTTGAGTCTTGAGCTTACTAAAAAGACTTCTGTTATATTCCCCATTTCTCGACACTAGAGTTTCATCAGCACAATTTTTTTTGGCATGATACTTGGCCTTACTTGTGTTTTTTTGATATTGGGTTTTATTAAATCCTGCTTTTAACCTCTAGTGAAGTTTGTCGGTGGAATGAATTTCTGTTCCAAATGGCTATAAGAATCAATTCTTGATATTTTTAATGATTCTTAATTATTCTTTTGAAATTCATGCGGTAAAACTGCTTTGTTTTATGAAGGCTTTGTTCTTTAAACCTGGATCTTTATTTTGTTTCTACTATCTCTGTTTAGGTTTTCAGCCAAATGGGCAGGCTCCAATCTCTTCAACAGACAAAGGTTTGACCCCTCAAATTCGAGGTAATGGCTTTGGTGTTGCACAGTTCACACCTCCAAGGCGACTAAGAACAGATGAAATTCCTCATATCGTGAATGATTTTAGACTTGCTGCAAGAAACGCCATAGAAGCTGGTAGGATTTCTTTCTAAAGCAAAACACTAATCACAAATGTCTCTCCCATGCACCAATGAGCTTTTTCCAATAGCATCTGGGTCATCCTTAGGGATGTGTGGTCAACTCAGAAGTTTGAACTCCAGCTGAAGCCATAAAAAAAATCACATGCATGAATACACTCTCTGATACATAATTTATTTTTTCATTTTTTTTTTTTTTTTTGACAGGTTTTGATGGAGTTGAGATCCATGGGGCTCATGGTTATCTTATTGACCAGTTTTTGAAAGATCAGGTGAATGATCGGACAGATCAATATGGTGGATCTCTAGAGAACCGCTGCCGTTTTGCTTTGGAAATAGTTGAAGCTGTATCTAATGAAATAGGGGCAGACAAAGTTGGAATCAGATTATCTCCATTTGCAAACTATGGGGAAGCAGGAGATTCAAATCCTAAAGCTTTAGGACTTTACATGGCGGAATCCTTGAACAAATATGGGATTGTTTACTGCCACATGGTTGAGCCAAGAATGAAAACAGTTGGAGAAAAATTTGAAAGCAAAGAAAGTCTTCTGCCCATGAGAAAAGCTTTTAAAGGTACTTTCATTGCTGCTGGAGGTTATGAAAGGGATGATGGAAACAAAGCTATAGAAGAAAACCGTGCAGATCTTATCGCTTATGGACGGAATTTCCTAGCAAATCCAGATTTACCAAAGAGATTTGAACTTAATGCTCCTCTCAACAAGTACAATAGAGCAACATTTTACATATCTGATCCTGTGATTGGTTATACTGATTATCCATTTCTTGAATCCATTGCTTGAGTTTGTTCTTGCGGGAGAATTAGAGCTTGTATGGTTTTATTATCCATCCTTTATGAGCTCTACTTTTCTAATAGAGGAGAGTTCACACGTGGGATGTTGAATTATATATTTTCATACATAAATGGAGATGAATAATATATAACATACCTTAAATTTGTGTAAAGAAATCAAAGTTGAATTGTTATCAGGAGTACAATTGCTTTAAAGGAAATATATATTGGTCTTTCTAAATGGGATAAAACTACAATGTCATTCACTACTAAACGACAAACTAAATTTCCCTAAAAGAATGACAAATTAAATGTATTGAAACATAAAGAAAATTAAACTCAATGTTGGTGATTGTATATTAATTATTCCCTCCGTCACAAAATATAAGTCGTTTAAGGTTTTCATAATGGTGATTGTATATTAATTATTCCCTCCGTCACAAAATATAAGTCGTTTAAGGTTTTCATAAGGATTAAGGAAGATATTAATATTCATAGATAATAACAAAATCAATAGTAAATTAACTAAATTATCTTTTATCCTCTATTTCTGGTGACATTGGGAATACATAAATCTCATTCTTTGAACGTGAGATTCAGGTTTCTTACATTGCATTACATTTAACCAAACATAACCTAAATACATTAAGTTCACATTACGGTGGATATTTTTAGGCTATGAGCATTGAGTATTGAGTCAGTTCATCTAATTTTGATGAAATTTTTAACTGATTTAAATTAATAAAACCAAATAAAGATTAATCGAACCATATCGAATAAGGAATCTGAACAGAAAGTAAACAAAATAAAGAATTAGTGTATTTCTCCTCTTTTCTCACAGTCTATACAATGGCTACTATTTATATTTACAAGTGTGTTGTATTTCCTTACTCTAGAACCTACTGTATTGTATACTATCTCATGTAACAGAATTACAGCTGTACAATATGGGTTAATGGGTTAGTTGGATTTGTTACATGGATTCGGGTTAAGTGAAACGGGTATGGTGTGTGGGTTTAATATAAATACAGGTAATGGGTGTGTGGGTTTTAATATAAATTACAAAATATTGTATGTTTTTTAGTTTAGGTTTTCTGATTTTGGTTAGAAAACGGCAAGCTTCTCGATTCTTTCCTTCTTGCTTTGCTATTGAATGTTGTCCCTTAGGCTAATTCATACTCGTTCACCGCCCCCCTCAAGGTGGAGTGGGTAACGAAACCAAAGCCCAAACATTGACGCAAGTCCATAGCTCGAAATATGGAGATGGGTAACAGTTTGGTGAAGAAGTCAAGCGAGTTGTGACCTCTAAAGGGAGATGTCTTTGGGTCGATTAAGGCCAGCTTGAATATAGTGTCGAGTGAGATGGCAGTCGATTGTCGATATGCTTTGTGCAAGGCCAGCTTGAATATAGTGTCGAGTGAGATGGCAGTCGATGTCGATATGCTTTGTGCGCTCGTGATAAACAGGATTGGCGGCAATATGCAGCGCCGCTTGGTTGTCGCAGAATAAAGGTACTGGCGTTTTTACTTTTACCCGCAGATCTGTTAGTATTTTGTCAATCCAAATGATTTCACACACTGTATTAGCCATGGCTCTGTATTCTGCTTCAGCAGAAGAGCGACTGACCACCTACTGTTTTTTTATTTTCCATGACACAATAGAGGAACCCATGAATATACAGCAGCCTGTGAGTGACCGTCGAGTTTCGGGGCAAGCCCCCCAGTCAGCATCACAGTATGCTTTAAGATCAAGCGTAGATGAAGTAGGGAAGAACAATTTCAAAGCTGTTGTGGAGGCTAAGTAACGGAGAACATGAGAAGCAACTACCATGTGACCCTGACAAGGGTTTTGCATGTGTTGAGACAACTGCTGTATTAAGTAAGTGATGTCTGGTCTGGTGAAGCTCAAGTAAAGTAGTCTCCCCACTAACCTTCTACAACAGTCTGGTTCTGTGAGTAATGGTCCCATGTTTGCTTGAAGCTTTTAACCTTATACTAATGGCGTGGATGCATGTTTTGCTTGCTGTATGTTTGAATCTAACAGCATGTCTTGAATGAATTTCTGCTGTGATAAGTAGATGCCATCAGTAGACCGTAGGATTTCAATTCCCAAGAAAAATCTTGCATCACCTAGGTCCTTTATAGTAAATTTAGAGTGTAGAAACTCCTTAATGTTGCATACAAGTTGAATGTTAGGCCCAGCAACTAAAATGTCATCCATATAGACAATAAGCACTAGAAAGTAATTATCTTCCCCTTTTATGAATAAGCAGTGGTCATTCACTGACTGTTGAAATCCGTACTGGAGTAATGTGTTTGTCAACTACTGGTTCCACATTCTGCCAGCTTGCTTAAGTCCATAAAGTGACTTAGTCAATTTGCACACTTGGCCTTTAGAAGCCTTAGAATAGCCAGCTGGAGGTTGCATGAAGATATCTTCATCAATATAACCATGTAGGTAGGCATTGTTAATATCAAGTTGATGAAGAGTCCATTGATATTTAGCTACTAGGGTAAACAGGATCCTTACAGTCACCATTTTAGCAACAGGAGAAAAGCTGTCATTGTAATCAATGCCCTGTTTTTGATTGAACCCTTTAGCAACCAGGCGAGCCTTATACCTGTCTATAGTCCCATCTTGTTTGTATTTGACTCTGTAGACCGATCGGTATCCAATGGCCCTTTTCCCTTTAGGTAACTCAGTTAAGACCCAAGTACCATTATCTTCTAACGCTTTTAGATCAGTTTGCATTGCTTGCACCCAATTTTCATTAAAAATAGCATGATTATATGATAATGGTTCTGATTTTGTTGACATTAGATGCAAAAGATGCATATGCATGTGAATAGGGTGAGTTGGGTAGGAAATGTGGTTTGCATTGCTTGCACCCAATTTTCATTAAAAATAGCATGATTATATGATAATGGTTCTGATTTTGTTGACATTAGATGCAAAAGATGCATATGCATGTGAATAGGGTGAGTTGGGTAGGAAATGTGTGGAATTTGAATTTGCACAATTGGTTACATAATCTATCATCCAAGCTGGTTGCCTTGAATTTCTTGTGCTTCTTCTAAGTGGTTGAACTGGTTGTTCTGGTTGTAAAGTCTGAGCAAGTTCTTTCTGGTTATTTTGTATGTATTGTTGGTGTTCTGGTTCAGGTGCTGTTGTAGTCTGTTGTCTTGTTTGGTCAAGGGTAGTCATATTTTCATGTGTTGCTGGTATTATGGTTTCAGGTATAGTGTTTGTGTGTTCTGGAATTTGTTGGTCATTGTCATCTAAACAGTCTGGTATCTTAAATGTACATGACTCAAGAAGGGTGTTGTGATGGAAGGGGTAAACTGTTTCCTTGAACACAACATCCCCTGAGTAGAAAATCTGCTTAGAGTGCATGTCATATAGCTTGTAACTCTTCTGTTGAGCCTCATAACCCAGTAATACACATGGTTTAGCTCTAGGATCAAACTTGTCTTTGTGTGGTTTAGTATTAGTTGCAAAACACAAGCAGCCAATAACTCTTAAGTGTTTCAGGTCTGATTGTATTTGGTTTAGTTTTTCAAAAGGGCTTAACCATTCTAAGAGTGCGGATGGCACTCTATTGGTTAGGTAAACAGCAGATAGGAGAACCTCATACCAAAAGGTCTTAGGAAACTTAGCCTGAAATAGAAGGGCTCTCCCAATGTTCAAAATTTCTTTATGTTTTCTCTCCACTCTCCCATTTTGTTGTGGAGAATAAGGGCAAGATAGTTGATGTGTAATTCCTTTAGAAAGGAACAATGTCTTTACTACATGATTCACAAACTCAGTACCATTATCAGTCCTTATTGTTTTGATTCTGGTGTGAAATTGGGTGTCATTAGGTTGGTAAAGTGGTCAAGGATTGAGTGGACTTGTTGTTTGTTTGGTAACATGTAGGCCCATGTGTATCTACTATAGTCATCCACTATAGTAATCATGTCTCTGGCACCAGTTAAAGAAGTGATAGGATAGTACTATAGTCATCCACTATAGTAATCATGTCTCTGGCACCAGTTAAAGAAGTGATAGGATAGGGTCCCCATAGGTCAGTATGTACTAAATCAAACATGCCTTTAGCAATATTACAACTTGGATAAAATGGCAATCTTTGTTGCTTTGCAAGAGGGCAAACACTACATTCAAAAGAACCACTGTTTGTATCTAAATTTATTAAATGATTTTGTCTAGCCATAGAAATATGACCCAATCTAAGGCCCATAACAGTTTCAAATGATCATCATGTTTAGTACAAGTAAGTAAAGCTTTAATAGTAGTAATAGGTACAAAACACTTCTTATCAAGAAAATATAAGCCTCCATACAACTTGCCAATAGCTACTACTTCATCAGTCTGCAAATCCTATAACAAACAATGGTTAGGTAGTGTTTTCACTGATAGTGCATTGTCCTTTGTAAGGGCTGATGCAGACAACAAATTGCATTTGAATGTTGGTATATATAACACGTCATTTAATACCAGTCTATCATGTATTATGACCTTGCCAACATGCGTTATAGTTCTTGTGGAGTTATCAGGTAGAGTTATTATCAGGTAGAGTTACTGTTCTAGGTTTAGGTAATTTGGTTAATGTATGAAATAGATTATGCATGTATGTCATATGATCAGTTGCACCAGTGTCAACAATCCATGGAAGTAATTCATACTTGTCATGCACATTATAATGAAAATGAGAGATAATACCTACAAAACTGACTGCATTAGCTGTAGGTGTATCCCCTGCCTTATCATCATACTGCATCTTGCCTTTGATTGCATGCTGGACCTCCATTCTCACCATTTTGGATACATCATTCTCATTGTCTCCTGAGTTAACACTCAATTGTTCATCATCTACTTGTCCATAATGTGCTTGAGCTTTCTTCTTCTTTTTGAGTTCAATAAACCAATCTGGATAACCAGTTAGTTTAGCCAGTATAGTTTACAAAAAACAAGTCTCTCTAGTGTGGCCAGTCCCCATTTGTAGTTGATCACAGTATCACAGTGCTTGTCAGCTTTAGATCTGGAATTATTCTTGTATTTCTACTGTTGTAGTTTGATTTTTGCACATACATTGCACTGCTATTCTCACTTGAGTCATAGATTGCAGTATTCACCTCCCTCTGTTTTTCAACACTTAGTACCATTGAATAGCCCTTGCTCATGCTTGGAAATGGATCCA